AAGAAAAGAGGTTCTGCTTTTGTTTCCACAGAAGATGAGAGCCTTTAGATTTCTTCCAGGATAATATGGTTTCATCAACCAAGACTCTCTGAAAGGTCTCTCATGACAGCCATGGCCCAGATGATCCAACATCCAGAATAGCTTCAAGGCAACAGCTGAGATGATACAGCCTCACAGACTACTATAAGCAAGATTTAACCATCATTCTAAAATTTCTCAGGATTCCTATAAGATTGCCAGTACCCTTAACCAGCAGGAAGTAGTATAAAAAGCTATGACCAAATTTCCAAAAGATTGTTTATAAATATTTGTTTTTATTTAAAGATGGTTGATTATAAATGGTTAACGATCATAGTCAATCTCTTTCTAAAGAAAAAAGGGGGATATGATATAGAAATGATGAAAAATGGTAGATTATTGAATCTACTTCAATCCAAAAAACAACTGTTAATCTCAAAATACTTTACATTGGTATGTATTTTGGGTTATTAATACAAATTTAAAGTCAATTTTGTTATGTGTATATTTCTACTCTTGTTTAAGGTATTTTATTTATGCAGCTCATTTAAAAATATAATATATAGTTAAAATACAAATTAATAGTCATCTGTAATAGTCAAACATAGTTATGTTAATTAGGTTTTCTAAATACACAAATATATATTTCAGATAGGTAATCTTCAAACACTTCAAAGACCTACAGAATATGACATTTAAAATGTTTTAAGAACTTAGACTTTTCTGGACAGTGAGACATGTCTGTTCCTGGCAGCACCAATTACTTCAAAGAGGATGATGGGCATCAAAGAAACTCATTATGGAGTTTGTTTACAATGTGAAAAAGGCTAGCCATTTGGGCAAGAAACTGTTCTTGCCTGGACTGCTTGATAAACTGGACATAGGAAGATGTCCATTGAACTTTGCCAAAACAAGGTGAGATGGTCCTTTAGGTTTCTGCTTCACAGAAGAAACTGCCAGACATTCTGCAGGACACACAGAAAAGCAACTAATGAATTTTGCCAAAATAGGCGAAATGATCCTTTAAATTTCCTGCTTCACTGAAAAGTCTGCCAGCAACTTTAGGCCTGTAGGCTGAAGATGGATGTCCCAATGGTGCAGAGAAACTTTGGGTGACTGTCCAGGCAACCAGATGTCTCTGTCATTTTTAGAATTTTGGAAGTTGCATACAATGCACTTCCTATTTACTCAGATAATATTCTTCTGGGGTCTTTGATGGAGTTGAAGACTAGATAGTTATAATTATAGTTTTCCTTGGTTATGATAAAAGGTAAATTAGATATGAAATGTTAGACTCACAAAAATAGGATAGATGATAGAGTATTTTCTTTAATTTTGTCAATTACTAATAGACTAGATATCGTAACTGTAATTCTTGCTTGATAACTGTTTTGTTATATGTAATTTTACTATGTTAAAGTTAAAACCTTCCTTTCCTTTTTTCCCCCAGTGAAACAGAAATGATTTTATTTGTTAAAATGGGCATAAACTTTTTTAAAAAATCACTTTCCATATTCTGGTCCTGAAGCTGATGTTGTTTCAGTTGCCTTGTTGGGAAATAATTGTCTTTCTGGGGCTCCCATTGTTCCAATGTCCCTTACATCAAACAGTTAGAAAATGTGTATTCTCTGAATCCACACAAAGCCAGGAGAGATTGTTTTTTCCGGGGTACAAATGGCTTCTGCTTCATGCACTCATCTGCTGTTTATGTTGCCCAGCTTGCACCCAGATCCCCATCTCTTCTTCCTTTTCACTCTAATTTCAATAGAATTCTTAAATTATGTATTTGTTGAATATTCATAACTTATTAACTGCATGATATTATTATATTCTCATTCTTGACATCAATTTTACACACATCTGTTTATTTATTTATGTGTTTGGGAGATGTGAGTGCGTGTACACAATGGTGGAGGTCAGAGGACAACTTGCTGGGGTCATTTTTCTCCTCCATGTGGATCTAACTCAGTTTGTCAGGCCTGGTGGCAAAGGCTTTCACCCATTGCGCCATCTCACCAACTCAAACCAAATGTTTTATAATGAAAATCATTAATAACCCCTATTATATAGAAAGTGAACTTGAATTACATATGGGTTGGATTAAAACCTTCCTTTTCAATTAGACAGAAAAGGGCAAGTGCTGTGGGATGTCTTTCTGTATGCTGTGAATATGTGTTTCTCTTATTGGTTGATAAATAAAGTTGTTTGGCCAATAGCAAGGCAGAATAAGGTTAGGTGGTACATTCATACTGAAGACAGAGATGAAGAAGGGTAGAGTCAGAGTAGACACCAGCCCACAGCCCAAGGAGCAATATGCCAACAGACTGGTAACACCACGGCCATGTGGCAATACATAGATTAATAGAAATGGGTTCATTTAAGATGAAAGAACTAGTGAGCAATAAGCCTGAGCCATCGACCAAACAGTTTTGTAATTGATATAAGCCTCTTTTTGTTTATTTGGGACCAAGATGCTGTGGGACACAGGAAAACTTCTGGCTATAAGCCTTGTAGAGAAAAATAAAAACTACACACACACACACACACACACACACACACACACACACACACACACACACACACACAGTCAGAGGTAATGGGGGAAGGTCCTCATCTTCCTCAGGGCCAAGGTCATTGCATTGGGGGTGGAGCATAGCATCTGCGGAGGCTGAATGGGCAGTTTCTCATAGACAAAGCATGTTAGGAGAGGCGTGTAGAAGCTGTGGGCCATCAGATGCTTGTGGAGGGTTAAGGCAATGTGTAGGCTAGCATTCCAATGGGTCTGTGCAACAGAGAAGATGGGCCCTCACAGAGTTAAAGACAGCAGTTCAAGGCCCATCCTATGCTCAGGCACAGAGGATCATAGGTGAATAGAGACAGGAGGTTGGATTTGGCAGCTAGATGTCACTGGAGACCTGTATTCTATAGACTCTGGAACCAGCTGAAAGTGTTCCTGGTACTCAGAACATGTGGTCTCATGGGATCCACAGGGACATTGGTGGGAGGGGCATGTCTAGATACTCACAGAATCAGCCTGGGGGCCCTCAGTGCTTGTTGTTGTTGTCTATTCGTATTCAGCTGAAGTGTCTTCACATGGCAGCAGAACTTAAAGCAGAAAGTGGCCACCATGAGTTCCACATCTGTCTGGATCACCAGGTGATTCACATTTGTCTGGAATACTGGATGCGCTGTATCTGTCTGGACATGAACCCTTGTTCCTTGAAAATTGTGCATGGCCCATGTCAGGAGCTCCTTGTCCTGAATCTCATACAGACAGTGGAGCAATCCAAGAGAATATGAGTGTTGGTGATTGGCCTTCTCCAGGACCCTCTTCAGCAGCTCCCACCTCCTCTCCAGAGGCAGCCAGCAGGTAAAGATCTTCAAGGCAGCCATCTCTTCCATTGCCTGGTCACTCAAAAGGCCAAATAGGAAGCGCATGGTGGGTACCTCAAACAGGTCAAGTTTCCTATACACTTCTAACAGCTTTTTTACAGTTTTAAAGTTTTTACGATTGTCCTTTTCCTCTTCATAACTCAAGATATAGGACATTGCTGCAAAGAATTCCTGGAGACACAGGTGGGCAAAGCTGTACCTGGTAGAATTAGGCTTCTTCTGAAGGACACCCACATTCATGAAAGTGGCAATGACATCCTCAGATAACCTTTGCTTTGTGAGATCTCTCTCACTGAACAGAGTGCTTCTTCTCCAGATCCCCACAGCAGCCAGTGAGCAGAGTCCTCTGAGCTGGGTTCCCAGGGCACTGTCTGGGAGAGTCTGGGAAAGATATTTCAGGCAGAGAGCTGTGGTAGTCTGTGAGGTCAGTGAGAGGTCTCCCTCCTGCTCCATCTGCTGCTTCAGGCAAGTGCAGACCAGCCAGGACACCCAGGGCACCAGACACAGTGTTGAGAGCACTGGGTTTGAGTCAACCAAGCTAAAAGCTGTAATTGCTTTTGTTTCCTCTGCAAAGTATGTATAGAAATATTCCTTCCGTCCAGACTCAGAGAAGCCCAGGACTTCCACCCAACGTGGCTTCCCCAAGGAAGGAATGAACTTCTGTAGAGCTGTGGTCCGAGCTGTGAGCAGCAAGGAAGCCCCAGGCAGGATAGATTTCCCTAGTAAGCTGCCTAGCAGTGTGCACACAGGCTGTGGGTGGTTCCAGTGTAGACAGAGCTCAGGATTCTGCTCCTCTAAGACCCATGCTGGCTCATCTATGCCATCCAGGATGAAGAGCACCTTCTCAGGCTGAGACAGGATCTGCCTGATGGGAGCTGCAGGCACAGTCTGGTCTTTTGCTATGAGCTTAGCCAGACTCAGTTTCTTGCACTGGGCCAGCTCTCTGCAGCTGAAGTAGAAGACATGCTGGAAGCGATCCCTGTAGAGCTGGCCTTCCCCCCATGCTCTCCTCACCTGCCTGGCCAGCGTTGACTTCCCAATCCCAGCAGCCCCCTCTAATACGACTAATTGAGGCTTCTTGGGGTTATCTGGGCTTGGGTGAAATAAGTCTTGGATCTCGATCAGATGCCCTCTGTCTTTAACATCCTGATCCCTCTCTCTTACCATGGACCTCTGGCCTCTGGGGCAAGATTTTTGTAAAAGTAGCAGCTGTATGTATTTTTGGAGGAAGTCTTCAGTTTCCCAGGACTGTGTTTGGCAAGGGTGCTTTCTTTTCTGGTTCTTTCTTGTTCTTATTGTAGTTTCTAAGTAAGTGAGGGAAAGATGGGACATAAAGTTACAGCCAGTTGTTTGTTCATTTGCCCATTCATTTAGCCAATAACTAAATTAATTTAGGCTTTTTAAAAAAATGGGGTGGGGGCATTATTATGTAGCCTGGCTATCCTGGAACTAGCTATGTAGGACAGGCTGGCCTTGAACTCCCAGGTCTTCCTCTGGCTCTCACATGATGGGATTAAATGTGTGTGTCCCCATGCCTAGTAAGATTTGGGCATTTTATTAGGTTTCACAATTCAAAGTGTGATGGTTAAGCTTGTGTTTTAAGTTTAAATGACTGTGCTTAAGAAATATATAAAACAAAAATGCCTCTAACTGTAAGTGTAAGGGGTCTTGTCTGGTGCCTTCATACATCATCAGCGGGCGGCTTCATCCCAGCCTAAAAGCCGGACGTGCACCCCCATGGCCTCTCTCTGCACTTTCTCTGTGCGCTCTTGGTCTCTGTCTCTGTCTCTTTCTGCATCTCTCTGTCTCTTTCTCTCTCTCTGTCCTATCCCCTCTTCTCTCTAATAAAGTCCATTCTAACTCTGGTAACCATGGTTTGTGACTCCTCCGCCACAGCAAAACCGCCGCCATAGTATCCAGTGCCAGTCACCAGTGCCGCCGCGGTAGCTGATCTAGCACCTACCAGTGCTGCCATATACCCTTTCCTTGACTCTTCCACCTCCAGATACACAGCTGCTGCAGTAACCAGTGCTAGCTAGCCAAACCATCGCCATATACCCTTTCAATGGTGCCGTGACTCGGATAGGAAATTCTGCACACTTGGGTGTCCGGGGAGTGTTGTCAGAACCCTATACGGAGGACCTGCCCAGCTGCGACCACCACTGCCACCGCCGCCTCCCTCCAGTGACCACAAACCTGCACATCCCTTGCCCTTGAGCCTTTGCTGGACGCCAACACCACTCCTACCGCTCCCGCCATGTTTCTCCACTACACATGAGTCCTGTGCTGTTCTCGTGGCTGCAGCCTGACTATATTCTTTGCAACAGACATGGGGGAGGGGTGGTGTAGTCCTCGGGCTGCGCTGGCAATGACACATTTTCTCTCCTGACGAGGGGGTCAATGCTGTTTTGGTCCACTGGGTGGTCTACCTGTGGTGCAGCTCCAGCCCTTAGCTCTCCCTTGATGAAGGGGTGTAAACCTGTGCTGATTCATAGATCTTTCTCTTCTCCTCAGGGACTCCTGGGATTGGAGTCTGATCCCAGTTTGTTATTTTAATTTTTTATTTTTCTCTCCGCTGCAGCCATGGGACAAAGGGGTGGATACCACTTAAATTGGCAGATACCGGTAAATCTGGCTGCATAACAGCTTCTCGGGAACTTCTGCCAGCGAACGGGCAAATAAAAGAGTTACTTTATCCCCAAACTTTCTGCTAAAGCTCTGAACCCTGCTTCCTTGCCATTTCTGATGTTTTCTTTTTCTCTGTTACTTGCAACCTTTTCTGTCTGAGTTCTGCTGGCAGTGGGTGGGCTCAAATGGGCGGGCTTGCCCCCCCTTCCTCCACTGACTCTCCCTCTAACTCACCTCAACTCCACCCACTCATTCTCAAACTGCCATGAGAGGCATAGAAGGTCTAAAAGTGGCTAAGATGCATGCAAATAAGTTTACATTAGTCAGGATGGCTCTTAAGCCAAAAATCAGCTTATAGCCTCAGGCAAGTCTTCTAAAAGGATCTGTTTATAGTCTGCCTCCTGGCAGATCTTCCAAAAAGCTGTCCTTAAGCCAACAATCATCAGGAAAAAAAATCAGGACTTGGAGTAAAAATCCATCTCTTGTTCCCCAGACCTCCCTGACTAAAACTTAAGCACCTGGAGAGCAAGGCTCCTGACCCCACAGGCAAAAGGGTCACCTGTGGCATTTAAGGTGTGCCAGGGAAGAGATCAAAAGCCTGAAAACAAAATTGCCAAGTGCTGGCACTTGCTGACTTGAAAGCTGTTGGGTCCCTGTTTTAAGTGAGGAAAAAGGCCACAGGCTAGCGGAGTGCACTGCCAGGCCATCAATAGCCTTGTTGAAAGTGCCACCTAGAAAGACAACAAGTCAGCTGACTGCCCCCAGGCACTAAGATGCATGGAGACATCAAGCTAAGACCTCCAACAGACCTAGGCTTGGCTACAGGCTTGCAGGGAACCCAGAACGCAGCAGGGAAATTCTCCGTTTCTTTCCTTCTGGACACCAGAGCCACTGACTTGGTCCTGGGAATTTTGGGATGTCATCTCTCCTCGTTTCCCTATTGTTGGGGTACGGAGGACAGCCTTACCCACCTCACCAGATTTAATTGCACTTTCAGAGTTACTTAATGGGAAAAGATTTACAGCTAAGATAGGAGCTTTCATTTCATTGCTCCCTTCCATGTGCCTCACACCAGACCTACCCACCTGTGTTTCTCACGTGCACACAGACAAGGCCCTGATCTTTGCCTTGACCCTAATTCCAAAAAAAATAAGTTCTCATGCACCACAAGCTTTTCTCTTCCCAGTTCCCTGTTCTAACTCACTGTTCAGCTAATGGTACAGGACCACCACAGAACCGGAGTCCAGAGATCAACAAGTAAGAAACTGTAACAGCTAAAAGGTATTTATACCCCCAGACCTAAAAGCGTCTGGGCTCTACAAAAACAGACTTTAATCTGGGCTCTACAAAAACAGACTTTAATATAACCATTTATTACTGTTAAATGCTTTTAACAATTGATCACCTGTCTCCTGGATGCCAAACTAGTAAAGGAAACAGGTGCCTTAAATAATCCGTCTCTGATAAAGCCTAACAAGTTCCAATCTCTCTGTCTCTCTCATTAACACTAACCAATATAAGCAGAGTACTAAACACCACATATGGTCACAAGTCTTCTCATGGCTGCTTCTTAACATGTTTCAAAACGTTTCCCAAGCTCTAGAAACCAGCTTAAATCCATCTGGACAGGCTGGATCTACCTCAGATAAGTGCCAACTCCCCTGGTCTGGGAACACT